GGTAAACGGATCCGTCTGCAGATATTGGGATTTTTTCCAGTGGATATTTAGTTTGTTTTGTCATTCTTGATCGGATTTTCTCTACTGTTCCGTTTAAACTTTATATTATCATTATTTGCATTTATGTGGCTGCTCGTTGTTTTTATGGGTTTATCCCATTTGCCATTAAATTTATATATTTTTATTGAATCTCTCTTTTTGAGATCCAGCGGGCCGCCATTGATGCACAGTAGAGATTGTATCTTTAGATCTCCGATTAGTCCACGAGACCACCGACTAGTGCTGTCTGGTAGAGTCTCGTAGAGGACGCGTTAAGAATGACAAAATATACTCTTGTGTTTACTGGAAGTCTTCCTCCCCATAACATTCCATAATCAAGTAGGCGCATAGCTCTTGTTCCAATATTTGCATCCACACCTGGGCCGTATCTATATACTGTCTTGGTTTGGCATTGACGGTTCATTAGCGATGCTGCAGTTGGACGTCGGGCTAGCCTAGGCCCTGCTCAAGCTGGTCATAACGTTTGGTCTTCATCTTTACCCTAGCTGCACTGATGAGGCCTAGAAGGCCGAAACGGATCCGTCTGCAGATATTGGGATTTTTTCCAGTGGATATTGAGTTTGTTTTGACATTCTTGATCGGATTTTCTCTACTGTTCCGTTTAAACTTTATATTATCATTATTTGCATTTATGTGGCTGCTCGTTGTTTTTATGGGTTTATCCCATTTGCCATTAAATTTATATATATATATATATCCCGACACGATGGCGTGCATTTCCATACTTTGAGTATGTATTATATTATCATATATGTATATATATATATATGTATATATATATATATATATATATATGTATATATATATATATCAAATATAACACTATGATAACTAGAGATAAGTCTATGCAATGTTTATTATGTTGTTTTTCAGACGGCAGCATTCCATTTTGTTCACCAAAACAAATAAATGAGTGCATCCACTCAACTACCAGTAAGTCTATTTCTTACTCGTGTATTACTATAATATAATGATGTTAACAAGAACACTTATTATAATAACCCTGCAAAGTTACTGCAACATTATATCAACCTCAAATTCTGATACACAAACCATCACATTATTATAGCGTTATGTTAACGTTATAATACCGTTTTGTGTATGGCGGGATTCAAAATTTAAGATTCAAGAACACTTTATTGTGCCATTTCCAGAATAGAAAATGTGTCTTTCTTTTGTAACAACTGGGTCAAAAAAAATATATATAAACGATAAATTACATTAAAATCACAAGAATAAAAAATAAATAATGTAGTATATAAACAAATTTGAGGAGTTAAATTATGGTTTATACACAACAATAACCTCAGAATATTTTAGGAACAGGAATTGATGTTTGGTACTGAATCTTAATAAATAAACTCATGACGATCTAAATAATCAAAGTTTGAATGAACTGATAGATAAAGAGGAGTTTTCGCTACTAACACTACTTCTCCATAGATGACGCAATTAGATTAATTTAAAAAGAAGGGAAGGGAACCTTACTAATAAAGACCAATATAACTGATGCCTTACAAAATTTTAAATATCCATCCTAGTTTACGAGCCTATCATGGAATTAAATGGAACGGAAATATTACTATTTTTAAATAATTAGTATTCGGCAGCCGCTCAAGCCCAAAAATATTCGATTCGCTATCGGCAATCGTCTGTTGGATTTCCTCAAACGCTTTCAAAATAAGAGACATTTTACACCTTCCCGATGACTTCTTGGTCGTCGAATCACTAAATGCAAATGCAGAAATGACAAAGCAAGTTCTTTTGACTATACTATGTTCAGTGTGCTAGACATCCCGCTATCGGCGAAAAAAAACCCGAAAGCCCCGCAATCTTCATCGAATATCTTGGTATTTATCTTGATTTAGAAAAAATAGAAGCGGGGCTACCAAGGGAAAAGGTTAACCGAATCCAACTAATTATATAGGAGTTTAGCACACGTACCTCATGTACTAAAAGAGAGTTATTAAGCCTCTTAAGACATTTAATTTCGCTTGTAGAGTTATATATCCTGGGTGCTTGTTTGCATAATTTCATACACATAAACGATGAATGTAGATCCGACTTAGCCATGTGGTCCCGTTTTCTGAAAGGTCGGAATGGTATATATCCTTTTTTCTTAACGATGATATTACTATAGCAAGCGATGTTAAGTTATTTACTGATGCCACACACACCTCGTTCGGCGGTATTTATGCAAACGAGTAGTTCCAAGAGGATTTCCCACAATTGTTGTGAGCTGCTTACTATGGGGTCCAAATTGGAAAAGGAAACGAATTTTATTTTATTGTAATAACATGGCAACGGTTGAAATAATTACTAAGGTAAATAAAAAATACCAAATATTATGAAACTTACGAAGGGTCTAACATACCATTCAGCTATACATAACTACTGCAGTTAAGCAAAACACATTGCGGGAAGGGATAATATAATAGCAGATTCTATTTCTCGCCATCAGATACTGCAATTCCGCAAGCTAGCACCGGAAGCGAACATCTACCAGCGACTTGTCTCCATCATTCCGAGCTCCTCTACCTTGCATGAATCCGATTTTATTATATTAAAGCCGGTTTGCCATATATAACATTAGGTGCAAATAAACTACAATATATTCTTCGAGGAATTAAAAAATCACAGAACAATACACAGGAAAAACGCTTACCAATAACTTCAATTTTTTTAACATTCTCGGTCCACTCTCTACCGGTTCCCACCAAGCAACTACCAGGTAAAAAAAAAAATCCAGCCTGGCTCATCCCTCGGATGGCTATCGACCTGGTAGAGATCCAGCAAGACAAAACGGTATTGCATGAGTGACACCCAAGAAGCCAAACAGTATTTCTGTTTTAATTGTATATACTGTAGCTTAGCAATATATAAAGGAGCGTTATAAGAATTCGTTATAATAAATTACAACGATCTAGAAATTTAGTGTATATATACTGTCTCTTATACACATCTAGATGTGTATAAGAGACAGATGCAATGTTTATTATGTTGTTAATCACTTTTGTTAAAATTGAATTATTAATTATACATTTTCATTATATAATACACACAGGACAATTTTTATCAATGAGGAATCAGATATGTACTTGTCCCGAAGAATGTGCAAAAGAGGAGTACAGTACATCGATGTCCTTTAGTGTCTTTCCTTCGAAGGGCATTGCAAATATACTTCAATCGTCCGGCCAATTAAATATTACTGCACAGGCACTTGGATACTATATTGGGTAAATACACACAACAATAACACATTTTATTCATAGCTATTTCCGCCATGCTTCCTCAAAGTAAAACCGCTATTTTCTAGGCCTATTAATGCTATTACTGTATAGAAATTTATAGATTATAATTACAGTGTATTATAATTAGATTATTATTATTTGTATTATTATAATTATTATTATTACTATTATTAGTATTATTATTATTATCATTATTATTAATGTTAATATTATTATTATTATTATTATTTTCGTTATTATGTTTATGATTATGATTATTAGGTGAATGTTCGCCCTACTTGACGTGTTATATGTACTGAATACAAAGTACATTCTCAAATACAAGTGATTCGGGTCGGAATCGAAACCACGACCTCCATGTAGCTAGCCGGATGTCTTAAAAAACTAGACCACCGAGATTGCGCTTGGCGGCTCAGTGACGAATCCGATCCCCAGTAGCAGTGGGTTCTGCAATGCTATTCCAATGGCGTTTGCGTCAGGAGAAATAATACAAAGTGATGTTTGCCCCACCTGACGTGTTATGTGTACTGAATACTGAGTACATTCCAAAATACTTGCATTATTATTATTGTTGTTATTGTTTTTATTGTTGCTTTATTCACATAGCTTAATATCCATTGTGTGAATGGCTGGCTTCCCTGTTGAATGAGAATTTAAATAAATAAATAAATAAATGCATATAATGTAAATATATTAGGGCTATCATATAATAAATTGCCTTACTGTATTGTACACTTTTTTCTTTTGAGTTCCATTAAATTATGATATGGCACAGTGGTGAAGGTGTAGATTTACATCTGATCACCCCGTTTCTACGAGAGTTATTGCTACTCATGTTTAAGCTAATGTCCACGTGTTCATGCCATCAGCTTCATAGCTTATATTAATGCTATGAAGTAAGTAATTTTATTTCCTTAATAGGCGTATTGTATTTTATTTTAGGCTATACTCTACATACAAGATATTTGAAGAGAAAGGAAGGGCCGAAGTTAATGATTATTTGGCAAATTTCACATCGGACTTTCTTGCCAGAATTAGGCCCCGGATGCCAGTCAACCAGACGTTTGTCTTATCACATTGTGGTCCTTTGATATCCAGTTTATATACGATTGCATACAGCATCAAGTATAAATTGACCACATATATGAGCGACAAAATGTATTTCGGCTTTCAATTCTCTGATCCACAGTACGCAACTGAGTTTAATTCATCTCTTTATTTTAACGCAAAGGGTATTTCAAAATCATACCTTGGTGAATTAACCATGCCCAATAGGCAACCATTATTGGCTGAGCTAGATTCATGTGTTACTGAAGTTTTCCACACAGTTAAATATCAGAATGATGAAATATACAAGGAGTTCTTTGAACAATTTTTTAATGTATATTACGATGAACAGTTCAAGTTTATAAATAGCGTTTTCAAGAATTGGTTGACTACACTTATTAAGGAAAACAGTCAGGTGCATTTGACTACGGAATTTATCAAGTAAACTACAAGTTTTTTGTTACTTTTTTTGTATACAAAATGTATAGGATCGAGAAGAAAGTCACAACCTACTTGACAAAAAATAATGTCATGGTAGTAGTTGCGCCATGAGACGTGAGCCGCAAATTGCAGTGGGAATAGAAGTGCTCTCGATCGACTTAGTGGCAGATTTTTTACACAGCCTCAATTGCCGTTAAATATTCCTCTGACACAAGAACACAACAAAATAACAAGGCATTGTAAATGTGAAACACTCTTCCTTGCCAAATTTATACAATTTGTTTGAATTTGCTGTACACCAAAGCTTCATTTCTGATATTTCGTTTACAGTACATTTCAAATTGGGTTTGCTTAATTTAGGCCGGGAACAACAGTTAACTGTTCCCTGGTTTAGGTCTGTCATTCATAACTGTTCAGGCCTTAAATTTTGATTGCAATCACTCATTTACACAGTATCGTTACTCATCATGAAAATTTAGTTCCATTCATGCGTTTTTGTTCCATTCGTCTTGTACCATTGCACTCTCCACTTTTCCAATGTCGCTATTGGTTGAAAGAAGATGGAGGGTTCCATTAAAGAAAGTTAGACCTAACTTTGTTCATAAAATATAAAATATTGTTGCAAAATTTGAACTGAACTGTTCATTGATTACCGAATTGTTGCAAGATGAAATTTCTGCTTATTGGTAGAAATTTAGGCTTAAATCTATTTTAGATGTGTTATAAAACGAATTATGGATGTATTGTATTCGTAAAATGGCAAGAATATTTTCGTTCGTTGAAATATTGACTGTTCCATTAAACTTTAATATTTCAACTCGTGGAGACTGTGCGACAGTGTATCTGCCAACTTTGTACCGTACTGAAATAGTGCGCCCACTGAAGTTTCTTACTAAAACTAAGTGTAAAGACTATCTTCCCTTTCTATACTTTCGGTATACTAATTTATATTTGATAGGTAACATTAAGACAAAATCAACAAAAACTAGCTAATAAGGCCAACGAGAAAATAGAAATTCATATAAAACAAATAAACAAGATAACTGTGAAATGAATAACAATAATTACTGAACATGATTATAAACAATTAAATAATTATAGATATAATAAAATGTACAACTATGAAATTGCTTATATCTATTTATAATTCAGTAAATATTTAAGGTATCTTTGGCGAGTGAGTTTGTGTCCTAAAATATAGATTTTATTTAAATTTCCAGAACTAATTACGGTCGAGTTGACATCTATTTTGAAACGTTGAAAGTAACAGAGATGACAGACCAACCTCGATATCAGTGGTTTTCACTTATATGTAAGTACTAAACTTCAGTTCTAACACCCCTGTATATTATATATACATGTATATATATATATCATCGTTCATCATCAACAACAACATAAACGCATCGAAATTATACATAAGTCTTTCTTTCATGCCCGAAGGCTTTAATTCAATAAGTAGGCCGCCGGCTCTATTAACATAGTAAAACATAAATGCAAATTAAGTGAGGGTTTTAAATAAGTATTTCTATGATTGTAAGCATAATACACATATTTTGATAAATTAATAACAATATTCTCACCTTTAGACGCCATTAAATGAAAAAAACTGAAATATTTTAGTATTTTCTAATAGTGTATCATTAAAAACTAATACAGAATGTCCCCTAATTTATCTACGTGACATAACTTGCGTAAGCTGTCCTTTTATTATGTATTTACCCATCTACCCTTTTTACCTCTAATTCCCAAAATAAGTTTTGCAAAGATATTTTGTATTAAATATTCATCTATTCCATGAGTTATAATAGTTCTTTATTGTCTATTCTTCACAGAAATGTAATTTGAACTAGTATACTGTACATTAACAAATGATCTTTAAAATATTTTCCACACTATTCTTTTGTTCAATATTTCACAGGTGACCTTGGTGGTTTGCTTGGTCTTTTCTTTGGGGCAAGCATAGTGGCCTTCGTCGAAGCTATTGATTTTTGGTGCATTCAGTGTTGTCACTGGTGAAAAGAGCATTATTCATCTAAAACTTATAGATAGTGAACATGATATCAGAGTTAGCCTGTCATCAAAGATGTGTTCTTTATACCACCTTCCTATCATATTGTTGTTATTGCTGAACCAAAAAATATCAGTTGATTAGGAATGTTACACATAATTTTATTTTAATACGCAGTGGATGTTAGATAGATAGATGTGTTTACATGGTATGGCAGGACGAAAGCTAAAAATATTGAAAGTTCATTGGTTGTAAATTCGATACCAGCTTACTAAGCTTATTAATTTAGGCATGACAACAATAAATATTAGATTATGTCGGGCTTAAAAAAACAAAACAAAAAAACCCCAAAAAACAAAAAAGCAAAGAACAAAAAAAAAAACCAAAAAAACACCCATATATTATATTTCATCCTGTTGTTGTAGCACTGTGCAGCAGAAATACAGTGATGCTGTCGGAATCAAGGGAGCCCCAGAAAATATAAACGTCACATTATGACCTTGGGAACTTCATCCTCCGTTCGTAAACTAATGGGATAATAAGCATATGATATGAAAAAAGAAATGAAACTTGTGTTATATGTTTAGATATATTAGATGGAAAAGTAAGTATTCTAGTACAGTGAGTGAGCAGCAAGATAGAAAGCTATCCAATGTTTCATAGGATTATGAAGGACTGGAGAAATAAAGGGCTTGTATACATGGCAAATACGAAATATAACAGCGTTATTTTTGGATGTGCCTTTAGTTTTATAATATTATGAAAAACTAATACATTATCGTTATGTTAGATAGTTAAATCAAAGATTATGTAGTGAATATAATTGTATATTGTGATATAATTTACTATATTAGCATGCTAAATGTTACTGCTGAGATAGGACATTAAATCCAGTCAACGACTTTAAACTGTCATGTGGTGCATAACGTAGTTAATCGCGCTTGTTTGTATATAATAATAATAATAATAATAATAATAATTTTATTAAACTATAACAAAATCAAACGGATATTTCGATAGCTCCTGCTATCTTTATCAACGTTAAAGTGAGAAAACTTTGGAGATCTTACGCATACATAAAGAATAATAAATGGTATAAACCAATCGGAATCAAGTTAAAGATACAATTAGTTGATTCAATATATTTCCTCCATGGTTGATTGGACCAATAAATATAAGTTCAGTGACAAGTTAATGAGCGAATTAATTACAATTACACCATGATAAGATGTCGGCAAAATGATTATGTAAGCGATAGTTTATTGGCGGTGCCATTGAACCAGCTTAATGCTAAGACTTTGATAGAGAGAATTTAACTACAATAAACAGTAACAGGAAATAAAATATAGTAAGATTTATATAAGGTCCTATATAATTAAAACAATTGAGGAATAGAAAATAAAATGTAGAAATATAAAGATATATTTATGAGTTTAAATAATATAACGCAATGATATCAAGATGACTATTACGTACAGTTTAAAAATCAATGAATATATAAAATGTACATAAGTAGAAATAATATATAGCATATATTGTTAGATATTGTGTTCATAGTGAATTATTGCGTATGAAGGCATAATCACATGTAGAGCCTAAGTCCTTTTTAGTCCCTTAATGTGAGTTTTTAACCGGATTATCAAAATTTCATTTCTGCGTTACGTCGTTCTTGTGTGGATTTAAAATTGCAACCTATTATTATGCCCTAAAGTCATTCATTGTGCGATTAGGTGAATTAAAATGTGTACCTACTGGGTAGTTGAGTTTGTGTCTTATAGATGATTTGTGGTTGTTCATTCTAGATCTGAAAGTGGGACCAGTTCCACCAACATAGTTTCCCATGTTGCATTTGTTGCAGTATATGAGGTATATAATATTGGGCGAGTTACAATTCAGTACTGAGACTTTTTGTATTTTGCGCTCTATAAATTAATAACCATTAACCATTACTGGTGGCCGGATTGTTATTTTTGACCCTGGTGGAATGAATGGAAATCAGAAATAAAGTCAGTAGGAAGAAATATCAGTAGGAATAAATGTCATTAAGAAAGGAATGATCCATTTTAGAATAGGGATGTTGGTTAAGACATAGACAGGAGCCATTACACACCCAGATAATCCTACTCATATGGTAATTTCTGGTGTTCATAGTATAATTAGTAAAGTACAGTATTAATTATTTCTTAATTGTATTAACTAGGCTAAGTATTTATTAGGTTTTTATTTATTTTACTAAAATTTACCATAGAGCATCGTCATTATTTATTTAAGTACAGTAAATACAATCTAATAATACCTGTATTTATTTTACGTAAATGTATTAATTATTATAGTACATTTAATATACATTAATAATACAACCTAATAATAAAAATAGGTTCACTTAGTTTTTTTTATTGCGTTAACTAGGCCTAATTTATTAGGTTGTATTTATTACTAAATTTACTAAGAGCATTATAATTTCTGTTGTATTTCTTTAAGTATCACACATTCAGTTAACTAAATACAACTTGGTTAAAGTTATATTTATTTAAGTAAATACAATTTAATTTTTATCAGGCCTATTAGGCTGTATTTATTTAATTTTATGTACTGTACTACATAGTATATGATACTTTATTAATAAATACAACCCAATATATTAGTTTGTTGTATTAAGTATTGTACATTCAATAACAACCTAATAAATCAGCTAATTATTTAAGTAAATATGACAATTTAATAATCAGGCCTATTAGGTGTATTTTCTACATATTGGTAGACCCTAAATCGATTTAAAAAGCCTTTAAACCCCAAAAAGGTGATATTTTTCCGGAACCCCCATGGAACACTTTTGAGGGATTTTGAGCGACACCCGGCCATGCCCACTTTTTTGGCGGGGAAATAGCTTCTCTTCACTCCGTCGGGGACCTCGGACCCCCGGTCAGGCAGAGCCGTACATAGAGAGAGTTTGGCCAACTCTGTTTCACGGGATTCGATATACGCGCGTGTGATTGGGTGGATCGCAATCACATGACTTACACCGGCCGTGTTGCCACCAAAACAAAACATTAAAGCTATACGCGCGCATGCGCCTGGGCTGTTTTGTAACGACATGGCGTCCATGCGCCAAGTTGGCCAAACTCTCTCTATCTACGGCTCTGCGGTCAGGTAAAACGTGGCGCCACCACTGGTAGTATTATGCACGCGCGCAACAGGAAACAGTCTGACAACATACGCTGCATAAAAAACGCAATTTTAAGCGCATGCACGAACGCTCATTTCTCCTCGTCGCAGAGATCGTAGGACGCCCGGTAGGACGGTCATGAGTGTCGCGTCGTTGCTTAAATCGAACACTTATACTCTCACAACATACGTCGCTTTGGGACTACATACAATGCAGTAAGCCACCTAGTTTACATATTATAAACCTAATTATGAGTAAAACTTGTACGTGACCTTGACATTGTAGTATAATGCACGCTTGCAACAGAAAACAATCTCACAGCATACACTGACTTTGGAATACAATTATAATTTCATAGCTATTTTAAAAATTTGGGTATGACTTTGACCGTAGTATGCACAACATACGCTGATTCTGACGCTTACTACACGCAGCACATTAAACTCACCGAGTAGGAATTATCACAAGTAGGCCTATTTGTAAAACTTGTATATGACCTTGACCTCGTAGTACCATACACGAGCGCAATAAAAAAAAATCTCACAATATATGTTTATTTGGGACTAATGCCCACATGACCTTCATGAGCAATGCGAACCGCACGATCCCGCACGATCCTGCAACTTTTCTGGTATTACAATTCGGCGTCCACCTAGCACCAGTTTTCCATTTCCACAAACGGCTAATTCGTGTTTCACTTTTTCACAGCGGGTGTAGAACTGTGAGTTGACTAACGGGTTTGTATGTCCGCGATACCATTTTCCGGTTTCTGTTGCTTGCATAACAGCTTTCAGCGTTTTATCTTCTTCTGTTGCTAATTCCATTTCCTCTATGGTGATTGGGTGGATGTGGTTGTTATGTAGTTTATGTATTCTTCGGCTAATTTCTCCTCTCGGCTCGTTTTCACTTGGGCCTTGTACGGATGTCTAGATATGTAATCAGCTGGGTTATCTGGTCCAGAACGATAAATGACCTTACTATCATAAGACTGAAGTCTCATTGCCCATCTTCCAAGTCTTGGGGGAGGAGTAGAGTTTGGATTTCCATAGATAGATACTAATGGCCTATAATCAGTGATGATGGTGATTGGTTTTCCATAGACGTACAGTATATGTGAAAATGTTCACAAGCCCAAATAACTGCAAGACCTGCTCGCTCTGTTTGTGAATATCGCTGCTCAACTTGCGAGAGGGTTCTGCTTGCATATGCTACAACATGGTGAGTTTGAGGATCAGCAGGGTCTACTGCCATTAGTAGGGCTCCAAGTCCAACTGGGCTGCCATCAACATACAGTTGAGTATCGTAGGTGCATGTACCAGTGCATCTTGAATTTACCTTGAACTTACCTTGAACCATAGGACTTGAGAACTTAGCTCATTTGTCCCTCCATCGTCATTCGTACAAACTCTTCAGTTACGTACGGGCGAAACTTAAATTGGTGGTCAGACCAATATTTTGAAATACCCGATTTAAACTGATGGACAGTAGTAGAATCAACCACCCAACTGGGTAGGGCATTCCAATCATCAATTACTCTAACTGCATAAGAGTTTTTTTCTAATATTAAGCCTAAAACGAGGTTTACTTAATTTATGTTTATGACCCCGGGTTTGCTTATATTCAAACTTCTGAAAGAGCTTCACTTCATCAATATTTTCTAATCTATTAACAATCTTAAATGTCTGTAAAACATCAGCCCTCTTCTTCCTAAATATCAGAGTAGGCAATTCCAAGGTCCTTAACCTCTCTTCATAACTCATGTCCCTAATTTCAGAAACTAGTCTAGTGGAACGTTGCTGAACTTTTTCTAAGCGGTCCTTGTCCTTTTGGTACAGAGG